CTCTATTTTATTTATTGTCCTCGTTCACTCAAGACACCTTAAATACCTAATACTGCCTTTTTACAGGGGGATAAGTTAACAAGGGGGATAGTAATTTTGGTGTTTTTTTTAGAAATCAAATTAGTCTAAAAAAGAGACCTCTCACAGGAGGAGAAAAGGAATGCCATTTTTCAGTAGCAGCTCTGTCACTGGTTACAAGTAATAGGCATGGGAATAAAATGAGTTTTAAGCATATATAACGTGTCTTATTCTGAAGTCAGAAAATGGGTGAATAAAAAATTTTAATGCTATTTTGTAGGGGTGAAGTACAGAATATGCTGGAAAGATTTGGAGGTAAGTGCATTTACATTCCAATAAATTAAAAGGCAATTCATATTTAAGTTGCGGAACTGGTAAAAATTCCTTACCATAAAATAAGGTTCAAGATTTATATCAAATGATTGATCTTCATAGCAGTTTTCAGTATTTCTAAAAAAGCTGGTTTTCAGGAAAAAAATTTACATCTAAGTAGAGAAAAGGGAAAAAAAGAGGTGGGAATAACCACATATAAAGAAAGTGTACATACTAGTGTAGGTAATTACAAAGGAAAAAGTGCTTTCGATTAATTCCAATTTTAAGAAGTTTAAGACATAGTGATTATATTGTAGAGAAAAGGGACAAGGTGAGTTAACTGCAGTTCTTGCTAATCTTTTTGTTAAAACAGCGTAGAAGGGACAGGATTGCAAGACATGAGTGGGAAAAAAACAGCATGTAAATTTCAATATAAGCAGCAAAATAGAAGAAATAGTTTTAATTTTAGACGAGGAATTTTGGCAGTAGGTTGTAGTTGGTGATACACAATAAGCTAGAGAGTAGTCTGTACTCTGCACCTTCAGAAATCTGGAGAACAGGGAACCAGCAGAAAAGAGAATTTCAGCAGTCAGGAAGAAGAGTACAATCTTCTAGAAGAGCTAAATAGTGGGTGTAAATAATACCAATCATGTAGCAATGAGAGATTTATGCATGTCACCTGGTTAGATTTAGTTTAGTCATAATCAGATCTTCAGATAGCTTTACTTATAGTTAAATTTCCAGATGAATTGTAAAGTCTATAATACACATCACAGTATTGAAAAGCTGTGGAAGGAAAGCCATCTTATTGACAGTATTACTGATTAATACTTTCATTGTTTGTATAAGAAAATGCTTTCACAGTCGTGACTTGCATGTAAATCTTAAGGTGAAAGAGGAGTTAAAGGAATTCCTTAATCCATTAATTAATACTTTTTGCTATTAAGGTACATATTAGAATGCTAATGTAGATCTAGCAATCTAGATAGGAGAAGGATTTGAGTGTTAAAAAGCTAGGATTGCTTGTTTTTGAAGACTCGAAAAACAGAGTGGAAGGAAAATGAATGAATCAGGGAGATGATGCTGTCTGCTCAAAAGAAATAGAGGCAGATGCCTCAGTACATTAGAAAGAAAGGTTTAACAGATGTTTCCTGAAATCTACAGTGGGAAGGAAAAGAAATTGCTGTATGAACCTTAAGCTGTGACTTGTTAGATCTCCAAATGTAAATTAAACAAACACTTGAATACATTTTTAGAAGTACTAAGTTTCTCCGAAGTATGAAAAATAGCTTGTTAGTCATTCATTCAATATTTTCACAGTGATAGTAATCGCATACTACCTTTAATTTATTTCTGAAATTATTACTGTGAAACTGGGTTTCTAGGAAAAAGTCAAGTGTCAGCATAACTAAATTCCTTGAAGGTCTGGAGATTCTGAGCTGGCACTGCAGTGATGCAGCTAAACTAATGAGGATTTTTATGGTGTGACTAAAACATCATTAAATACTAGAGAAAAGAGCAAATGTCTGTTCTCAGTCAGGTTTTTGCAGGGTATCTCTAGCTTTGAATGGAGAATTTACAGACTCAAGACATCCAAATACAATGTTTGAAGATATGCAGCATGAACTGATCAGATAGTGCTTCTGGTGTTTCAACCATATATGAGTGTATAAAGTACGGATGATATGTTAGAAGTACATGTCGGACCTTAACAGTCAATAGGAGAGCACATGATGACAGCATGTTAGGAACTGATTTAAATGTCTGTAATAGAAGCACTGCAGCTACCCTGAGTTCAAACTGCTGGGCAGTTTCAGTTCATTGTGTGTGTCAGCTCAGAGCCAGTCTGACCCTGCATCCACTACTGTCCTGCCCAGAATGAAAGAAGCAAAAGCTGAATCACAGCATGGTAGCTTCTACTTGGTGGGGCCTCTGAGAGACACAGGACTTGAAGCAGATGCTTGAGTAGTTGGTGGGGCTGGGTAATGAGCAGTTGCAACTCCAAAGGCCAAGTGCTGGTTAGGGTGTACAGGGGGCTAAGGGAAGCAGCACTTGCACCAGTGCCAACAGCAGGTGGAGAGACACTGTAAACACAGCAGCCAGGACCCCAGATCACATTAGTTTCTTTGCATCAGAACACACTTTGTTCGCTTCTCCAAAGCGTAAATCATCACCGTTTTTAATAAAAGGCCCAATGTATCTAGTATGCTTAAGTTGTAAATATTCTTTGATTTTTAGCGGACATTAACAAGGCTCTCTTAGCTAAGAGAAAAAGATTAGAAACGTACACAAAAGCCTCACTAAAAACCAGTAACCAGAAGATTGAACATGTTTGGAAAACACAGCAGGAGCAAAGGTAACACCCTTGTTTTTAAAACCTACGAAATCAAGTTCCCTTTTGTGTTACAGCATGGATAGTTGATGCATCTTCTTGTACTTAAATAGCAAATAGCGTATCTGCTAGTTAAATGATCTGCTCAGGTCCTCTGTTTCTGCTGCCTCCAATTGTGTCCACCTGGTTAAACTGACAGTAATTGTGCTTTCTCTTTTGTATAGAGAAACTTAAGATTTGGAATTTTGAGAGCAAGGCACCTTACAGAGCTGGGTTTACTCCTGTTTTATCTTTATGGAAAATGGCCTTTGATGTTAATTTTGTCCTCCAGACAATTTTTTTTTTCCACTTCACTAGGAATTGTTTAAACTTGAAAACTGAAAAATATTCAGTAAAACTTTTATGCCATTCTGCTTAACAAAGAAAAATTTTCATTTTTGCATTGTAAATAATCTTCACTCTACATAACATTCCTTTGCCTCTAAAGGCGTATTTAATTACTACATCTGATACTACAGGTAGAGCAAACTGAAAAATGAGACCGCTAAAAACTGGAAGTCAGAAATACTTGTAACTGTCTTGGTGATTTTACATACATATTTTTGAAACTTACATTAACAAAATGTAAGTTTACACAGAGAAACTAGAGTATAATGAACTAAACAATGAGTTAATGAATTCTTTCGTTATGAACTCATGTGTTAAGGCCAAGATCTGTGGTTGGGTTAGAAAACCACAGTAAATACATCTATATTTATATATATATGTATATAATCCACACTCACTCAGAAAGTATGTATGTGTCTTCAGTTTTTCAAAGCATACAATATTCAGTTAGGGCCAGATGTCAAAATAGCCTGGGTTTTAATCTATGCCAGCTCCTCTCATTCTACACTCTGTGTGTGCTAACCCTTAGCTTCCCTTGTAATTCTTCATAGCATTTGTCGTACTTATGGGCAGTGTGTGTTTACAGGCAGAAGCTCAATCATGAATTCTCCCAGCAGTTCCTGACTTTATTTCAGCAATGGGATGTAGATGTGCAGAAAGCAGAGGAGCAGGAAGAAAAACTAGCGGTGGGTTTCCAACACGAGTTTCATGTTTTCACAAGGAGGGAATATTGTTGTTCAGACACTCATGAAATACAAAAACACTTTATGTAGTTTTAAAAAAAAAATATGATTGCCTCTTGATTTAAAAAAGTTCATTCAAGTTCGGTGGCTCTCAAACTAAATATGTAAGCTTTGGGAGGTATTGGAAAACGAAGAGGGGTGCCATTTATGAACTTTACTGCAAATTTATAAATGGTAACTAGTGATGCCCTAGGCCAGCGTATGGATTGGGAAAAGCCAAGACTATTTATGGAGAAGAAAGTTGTGTGCTGTTCCTGTGCATCCATAGTCTTTGGGTTTGGGGAACACATGAGTAAAGAAAAGTAGTTGTCTTTTCACATGCACCACTTATAAATATGCCTGTATATAGTAAACGTTATGAGAATTTGAGCATTGAAAGGGGATAGGAGCTATTATAATGGAATGTAATTGCATAATGTTGCTGTATTTGTACTCCCAACATCTGCACGTTTTGCTTTTCCCTAGTCAACACATTTCCCAGGGATACCCTCGAGAACTGTGCTGGATAGCAATCCTCATAGGGTCTCATAGGGATAATTCAGGTTGGAAGGGACCTCAGGAGGTGACTCAGGGCTTTATCCGGTCTTCAGTCTTTCTTTCATTAATAAGAACAAGGGTAACTCTCCAGGCAGAGATCTCTATTACATGACCCACATTTCCAGGGAAGACATAACTTCTGATTCTGATAAATGACATTTGTGTTGCTGTCCAAGCGTTTTTGGCTAACTAATGCCATTAGTTTTTTCTTTTGCTTCTGCTTCAGAATATGCTTCGTCAGCAACAAAAAGTTTTTCAACAGGCAAGAATAGTTCAAAGTCAGAGACTGAAAACCATTAAGCAGCTCTATGAGCAATTTTTAAAGGTACAGTAAGTTTTCTTCTTACAAGGCAGTCGATCCTTATCATATCATTTAAAAAAGCTGTATGAATTCAGCCTTTATGACATACAGAGATTTAAGGCTCGTTTAAGGAAAATAACAGCCTTGCTTGAATATTCATGTTAGTATCTTTCTCTTATTTGCTATGAATATAGCTTGTTCTCTCTAAACATGCATAAACATTGCATCTGTTTAATAAATAATTAATTGTGTTCTAACAGGGATCTGATTGGCTTGCCTGTTTCAAATATTTAGGCATAACCCTCAAAGCATACTTTCTAAATGGAACATGGTTTTGTACCAGTTTAAAGGTTATCTAGGTCAGTTAAATCATCAAGATTTTGTCTTAATTATTCCCTTAGGTTTTTCATATATGTTTAAACCAGTGAAACTTGACAATCTATTAAAAATACATCTTAGGCTGCAATTGATTTGGCTTTTATTACTGCTGGCAGGTGCATGCCACATCATGAGAAAAAGAAAACATTTTTTTCTGTCATTAATCTTTTCAGCTATTGCTGCTTCATGTAAGAAAGTGACCCTTAAAATCAATTGTAATTCCCTTAAAATTGCCCAGTTTGAACTCCCTTCATCTCTTCCTAAGCAAAATTCATTAGAAAGGCTGTTCCTTTCTGTAAGCTTGGTATTCAAGGTAAGCATTCACTAAAACATGAACAGGAAGAATCTGATGGAATTAATGATTTATGGTGAAAACTTGCCCAGCTGGATGGATTTGTAATCAGACCCATTTAACTTTCCTGTTGCTTTATGCACAATTTTTGTATTTGCTGGGATTCCCTACAAACACCTTTTTTTTTTTTTTTTTGGATAGTTCTTACAGAGATAACGTATTTCGAAGACATGATTCATACCAATCAACTGTGGTGTGATTTTGGTTTGGGTTTTTTTGTTGTTTTTTTTTTAAAAAAGTAACTAACATACTAGACAAAAAAAAAAAAAACAAACAAAAAAACCAACCAACCAACCAAAAAAAAACCCCAAAAAACATAACTACTAAAAAAATTTGACTTCTTGGCAAGAAAAAAGTTTCCTTGTTACTTTACATTAAGAACCAAACACTTTGTTCCCAGAACTTCCTTCTACCCCCCGTTTTTCTAAGTAAGGTATTAGAAATCTAAACTGTGAGGAAAACAAAAGTGCCCTGAACAACTGGTTTTGTAACAAACGCAGAGGCACTGCACCATAGAACCAATGGAGGGCTGAGGTTGGAAGACACCTCTGGAGGTCATCTGGTCCAGCCTGCAGGTGGTTCAAAAAACAGGGCTACCTAGAGTTGCTTGCTAAAGACTTATGTCCAGAGAGTTTTTGAGTATCTCGAGAAGGCTGGAGACGCCACAGCCTGTCTGGGCAGCCTGTTCAGTGCTCAGACACTCTCATAGTAAAAAAGTGTCTCCTGATGTTCAGTGGGAACTTCCTGTTTCCTATTTGTGCCTATTGCCTCTGGTGCCCTGAATCTTGTCTTCTCCAGGCTGAACACTTCCAGCTCTCTCAATCTTCCCTTGTAAGAGATATGCTCCTGTGCCTTAATCATCTCCATGGCCCTTTGTTGGGTTCTATCCAGCATGTCCATGTCTCTTCTACTGGGGATCCCAGACCTGGACCCAGCACTCCAGATGTGGTCTCTCCAGTGCTGAATGATGTTGAAAGATCACCTCTCTTGGCCTGCTGACAACACTCCTCCTAATGCAGCCCAGGATATCATTGGCTGCCTTTGCTGCAAGGGCACACTGTGGCTTCACCTGTGTCCACCAAGGACCCCCCGTGCC